AAAAAAAAAAAAAAAAAAAAAAAAAAAAAAAAAAAAAAAAAGCAACAAATATTGGAAGGTAGAAGGATGTTGAATAAGTGACTAAAAGGTGGCAAAATTCAGGCTGAGGGTGTAGCTAACTGGCAGAGTACTCCCCTCAACATGGTTGAGGGCATGTGTTTAATTCCCTGAGCCACCCACCCCCACAAAAAAGAAAAAGCCAAATTCTATGCCAGTAGGGCTGACAACTGATAACAAACCCACTGTACACTACAGAATCCCTTAGAGGCTCAGGAACTGCCAGAACCAATGAGGGGGAAGCTGATTGGAGATGCATTATCTCATGTAAACCATACATGATAGAAGATAAAGGTTATCTTAACAAATGACAAGTTATACAACCCTGAATACAAAATATTCCAAAATTTACTACCCAGTCTTCTTTTCCTAAGCTCACAGATTATTGGCAGCTACATCTCAACCCTTCGTGCAGAAAACTAAAATATTATCTGGAAAATCTTTTTTTTTTTGGTAATGGGGATCGAACTCAGGACCTTGTGCTTGAGAGGCAGGTGGCAGCACCACTGAGCTAAATTTCCAGCCTCTCTGGGAAATCTAACCAGACCAAAAGGAAAGACACACACTAAATACAGTCTCAAAGAGTCCACCCAGACCAATGGTTTCATCTTGGCCATACCCTGGAATCACTAGGGAAGCTGTAAAAAATACTGATGCTTACCTATGGAAATACAAATCAGAACAGTGGTCCTCTCTGGGCAGGCAGTAAGAACACAGAAGAGATAATAGGAAGGGTCCAGGACATAGTGCTACACTTCTATAATCCCAGCACTATGAGGCCAACCTGGGCTCCATAGTGAGTTCTAGGCCAGCCTGAACTATATAGTGAGACCCTGGCTTTTAAAAAAAAAAATGTAAATTTAAATTTTTTGCCTTTTATTATATGTAACAATACCTATTTTTTTTAAATGCTGCTACCTGGATCCTACTCCTAAAGATTCTGATGTACTGTTTTTCATATAGCAGCAGCAAGGATATTATTAATTTTCTCCATGTGATTCTAATATGCAATCACAGTTGAAGAACATTACTTTAATCTCTAGCTTATATGGTGAAAGTGAAAATCTTACTTACAAACTCAGGGTTTCCAATTAGCCAACAAGCCAGTCAGTCTTAACCATAAATATACAACAAAGAATTACCAGCCAACCTCTGAGGAGCACCTCTACTAATGAGGGTACAACAAGTTGAAAAATAACTTAGAACAAACTATGAGAAAGAGAGAAAAGACTGAAGAAAGAAAGCAAAGGGAAGGAGGGAGAAAAAATTATCTTTAACATCCTCAAATACATAAGAGAAAATGTGGCATCCATGGAATAAGAGAAGAAATGAAGGGATAAGTGACTAAATAGAGGAGAAACAGCTGAGACTACCAGTCTATAGAAAGGAATATATAGTCAAGTAAGCTGACAGCTCACTCACAGAACTACAGAGAAGGCTCAGGATCTAGAATCTCCAAGTCAGGATAAGAGAGAAACTGGGCTAAAGAGAAGGGAAGAGATTTTACATCGACAGACGATATAACAAAGTCTCACTTCCCCCACCATCTCTATCCTCTCAATTTATTCTCAGAAGCACTGACCTGATAAGACTCCAGATTCAAGAAAAGTAGAGTCAGACTGAAAGCTAAAAGCCAAGGGCTTAAGCAGGAATGTTTTTAGTGAAAACCAGCCTCCACCAACAGCCCACTTTCTTTGCCCAGTTCTCAGAACACTGGGAGCCAGACAAAAACAGTAGCACTATTTATCCACAAGGAATATATTCCAAGACCTCTAGTGGATACCTGAAACTTCAGATAGTACAGAACGCACAATTTGATGTCTTTTCCACCTTAAGCATTTATCACACACTGTGGATATAACTTTTGCAGTTTGAAGTACTACTGCAAAACTAACACAAATTTCTTTCCTTCTTCACAATTTTACAGATAAATCTGTTCTTACTATAGATCTTAGCAACTTCATTATATTACTTTTTTTCCTCATTAAGTCAAGAAATTATACCTTTTAACTTACCAGAAGCACTTCAGTGCTTTGCGCTGGCAGTCAAACTGCCAGCATCTCTACTCTTGCACCTGGGAACATTAAGTAAAAGAAGTTTGAAAACAAGCACTGCAATACCAAGACAGTCAATCGGTTAACCCAAAGGGTAACTAAGTGACTATCTAGAAATATATAGCCTTAGACACGCTGGACAAAGGATGTTTTACATCACACCTGGACAGAACAGATCAAGTCGAGATTTGGTCACCCTACTCAAAACAGCAAGCCATTGACATTTCTGGAATTTTCCATATATTATTTTCAGAGCCTGGTTGACCACAGGTCACAAACCTCAGAAGTGACACAGTGGACAAGGGGGACTACTGTCCCTCTTCTCAATTTGATTCAGATACCCCATCTGCATGCTGCCAAACCAATTTCCATCATAGTACCTCTCCTAGTGAAGGTCAATGGTCTTTAATTTCTACTTACTCCCACTGGACTCGTAAGTTCTTTAAGAGTGTGAGGCAACATTTTAATCAGCTTTCTATCCCTAGAACCAAACACAGTGACTTTCAATAAGTCTTATAAATCCTCTATAAATCTTTCATTGGACCTTGACATTGGAAATACCATGCTAAAAACAATGCATAACTTAGAAGGAATACTAGAACATATAGGTATAATTTGAAGTAAGTCATGAACAAAGAAGATAGACTTCAAATTTATTGATGAAATGATGTCTGAAAATAGTCCAAAATAAACCCAGAGGCACCTCCCCCACCAAAGAACAAATGGATTTCTATATGCCAGCCATGGGTGATTTTTTTTTTTCCCCAATACTGAGGTTTCATTGAGATAGGGCCTTACTAAATCACTAAACTGCCCAGGCAGGACTTTAACTTGTGATCTTCATATCTCAACCTAGCAAGTACCAGGATTACAACTATGTACCACACCTCAACAAGCTCACAAGTGAGGGTTTTATTGTAGCTATTTTGGGGCAGGAGGGGGGTTGAGACAGAGTCTCACTTTGCAATTCAGGTTGGCCTTCACAAAGTAGCCCAGGCTAGCCTCAAATTTGCACAATTCTACTGTTGGGATTACAAGCATGCACCACCTGCTACAAATAATTTTAGTATCATGTATAGATGTATAGCAGGGCATGATGGCACCCGCCTGTGATCGCAGCACTCTGGAGACTGAGGCAAGAGGACTGTCATGCCAGGGGTGGTGAGGCGCAGCTACAGTCCCAGTACTGGAGAGTCTGAGACAGGAGCATCACTTTGAGTTCAAGACCCACCACGGCTACACAGTGAGTTCAAGGCCAGCCAGAGCTACAAAGCAAGACTCTGTCTCAAAAAAATAAATAAATAAATAAATACCATTTATGATAACCTCTAACAACATCAAATATCTAAGAATAAATGACAAAAGATGTGCAAGACTTCTACACAGAAAACCATAAAACATTATCTAGCAAAAGTTTAAAAGACCGAAATAAATGGAAAGATGCACCACATTCATAAGTTGACTCAACATTATTGACATGTTCTCTCAAAAGTGTTATATAGCTTCAAATCCAATTCCAAAATTTGTGGAAATTGACACATTCCAGAATGTACTAGAAATGCTAAACCAAGAGCAACCCAAGCAATCTTAACAAACAAAATTGGAGGGCTTATACTACCACATATCAAAGATACTTAGATTTATATTAATATGGTGATACTAGTGCAAGGATAACAGGCAATTGAAACTGATCATGCAGAAACACATCCTCATCTCTATAATCACCTGATTTATTTTTGTTGGTGGTGTTTCTGTGGTGCTGAGATTCGAATCCAGAGCTCCATGCATGTTCAACTTGCACTCTTATCTCCTGAGCTATACCCTCAACCCAGTTATCTCATCTGTAAAAAAAAAAGTGTTACATGGTGCAGAAGGATGGTATCTTCAATAAACAGCGCTAGGTTAAATGAATAACCATAAGATAAGAAGTGACTATTTACTCTCACTGTCCACAATTTACAGAATTCACTATAAATTCTATGTGTTAACAAGAAAAACAAAAATTTCTATAGAATAACATGGGAAAATTTCTTCCTATTTTTTAGGCCAAGCATAGATTTCTTCAACAGGACACAAATAGAAGTAATCATAAAGAAAAAATTGTATTTCATAAAAAGAATACCGGGCCAGGGATTTGGCTCAGTGGTTCTGCTGCCTGCCTCACAAGCGCAAGGGCCCAAGATCAATCCCTGGTACCAAAAGAAAAGAATACCATCAAATGAATGAAAAGGCAAGGCTGCAGGTACAGCTCCAAGGTAGCTACCATGGGCAAAGACGTGGGTTCCACCTTCAGCACTGCTTTTAAAAAATTAATTAATTAAAAGGCCACAGGGCTGGGGATTTAGCTCAGAGGTGCCGCCGCCTGCCTTGCAAAAGCAAGGACCTGAGTTCAATCCCTGGTACCAAAAATAAATAAGTAAATAAAAGGCCATAAAAAAGCCATTTGTGGGGGTATACATCTGTATTCCCAGGCACTCTGGAAAGATAAAGCAGGAGGCTCACAAGTTCTAGCACAGCCTTGACAACTTAGCAAGACCCTTTTTCAAAATAAAAACTAAAATGGGAGGAGGGGTTAGGGATGTAGTTCAGTACAAAAGCCTTGGGTTCAATATACATTCTGGAGCCAGGTGTGGTGGCACACGACTGTAATCCCAGCACACAGGTAGTTGAGGCAGGAGGACTGCTGTGAAATCAAGACCAACCTGTGCTACATAGTGCGTTTTCCAGGTCAGTCTCAACTAAAGAGTGAGACTGTGTGTGTGTGTGTGTGTGTGTGTGTGTGTGTGTGTGTGTGTGTG